GGAAAGAGTTTCACTTTAATTACTTGATTTATGAAAAAATAGTCAATACTGGGGAAGAATCTCTCTTATTGAAATAATCATATACCCATTGTTCATTTATGCTTTTGTAGACAATTTTTATGCCATACCTTTTTTTTTCATGTCAATTTGAAAGAAAAAAAATCAAACGACTCGACTAGGATTCAAATGTAAAAGCCAGAAATCGCTAAATTGTGGGGACGAAACGCACACCCCGTTAACTGGTTAAAATTTTTTTTAAAAATTTTTTGAAATTTTTTTTGAAAATTTTTTTGAAAATTTTTTTGCAAAATTTTTTTGCAAAATTTTTTTGAAAAATTAGAGGTAAGGTTCCTAAAATGCATTATTTTCGCGCTAAGACGCATAAGAAACGAGATAATTGCAATTTTCTGAATCATTACCTAAAACTGCGGTTATTAAATATATTAAATGAAATATACATTAAATTGAGTCAATCCTCTCTGAAGAAGACCATGCGTATGACTTTTTTGCCTCTGGTATTTTCCCGGGTTTTTTATACGGATTGAATATATTATTTTATTTAAATGCGAAAGGGTATAAGAGAAGAAGGAACTTTATTTGTATTTATTCTTATCGCCAGTGATTTTCTATTTTTGTGTGAACTTCTTGGAAGATTCACAAAATCGCAGAAAAAAATAACAAAGTAGTGGCACAATTATGAAATTGAAAACTGTAATGAATCATCAATGATCCACGCGATGTGGTACAAAAAGCAAGAGCTCATGACTTGTGAGGCTTAGTCGTTGGAGACCTATGAGAGAAGCCACTAGTGAAATTCACTCATCCCAATTTCAAGAAGTCGTGTATTTCATTTACGGTATTTGATTACTATGAATATTAGAATACGAAATAAGTAATTATCATTATTGTCTCGTCGATGAGAAATTCAGGAAAGTGTTTCAACTCAAAAATCTAATTCAAAGCCTGGTAATTCGAAGATGAACCCCTCACTCCAATCGACTGTCGAGAGAAAAAAGTTCAAAGATGTGATTTCTCTCGCCTCAAAAATAACTCATCTCATGTGCGATGAAACAATACACCCACAGGCTCTCGCAATTGCTCAATTCATACTTTTTTGTCGTGGTATTTCACTGGAGCGAGCATCAGAACAACTGGAAAAACCTGGAGCACGTGATTTAATTAATAAATTATTGGATTCAGAGAGTGATTTTATGAGTCCAACGCCAAGATCACTTGGCACAGATATCGTCGCCTATATTTCAGCAGCAAAAATTCAAAAATCACTGGATGTCAAACAAATACAAATGATTGATGTCTCGAAGACCATGGATCGCATCATTCCTAACATCAAGACTGTGATTTTATATAATCATCCAACTCTTGTGTGGATACGTTTTCATTGTGAAAATATAATTAACATTACAATTCCACAATTAACTATTGTTCCAGTAAACGATTCCGTGTATGAAGCGTACATGAATAAGACTCGTAATGCTGTTCGTTCCATATCTGATATTATTCAACGTCTTGAGAATGAATATGCAGCTGATATTATTTTTTGCTCGGAATTATCGTACTTCATGGAGAACAAACTCCTGTTTGTAAGCAATTACGTTAAATTCACATGGTGCTATGCAATGAGTCGTGATATTTTTGATCCACAAAATTTTGAGGATCTCAGGGTAATGTCCATATACATGACCTATAGTCTCATGTTTCTCAATACAACAAATTTGACGAATATGTCGGACGTAACTCATAATCCGTTGATTGCTTACACTGGAGAACGTCCTAGAACTGCTATTGCTAGATTTAATCCCTTGAAGACATATACTGTTGAAGGCAATCGAGCCATGCAAACAGTCGACAAGGGTTCGGATTTTGGCACTAAATCTAATTTCATTGAAATTATAAGTCATGTTATCATTTCAGATGGATGTCTTGATAAAATTTTGTAATGAAGAAATTAAAATATAAATAAACTGAAAAATTATCACAATTTCACATTCATCTTTGCAGTAGCGAGAATATTATAGCTGCTATAACTTTATGAATAAATTAATATACGCTATCGACATTTCAAAGTGGGTAAAGTATAAATTGTCACTCGTCAACTCAGGATTAACTTGTATAAAAATTAATCACTTGACAAAACTTATTTAGCTTTCAATAAAATTTATTATTCACGAACAATTTTTTTTTAAGGATCAATCCAGGGAATTTAGGTGAATTAAATTATAGTTGAGGATTGAATTGTAATTCTAGTCGATTGGAGATGGGATTGTGGTGAGATATTAACGGAGAGATGATCGTAAATAACTGAGAAGCTTCAGACTTTGTAGGAGTGAGAGGGGCTGCTCAGTACCTGACAACCCAATATACGGCTTATAAATTACCATGTAATTACTATAACATACCCAAGTTAGTAAAAATAGTATGAGAATACACATGATACATATTAGAACAGTGAAGATGAGAGAACATATATGTGCGGGACTCGTTGGTTCTGCCATTCCCAAAGCTACTCTATCTTCACCTAAAACATTGACAATTGATTGTGCGTAAACATAATACGTAATTTATCATAATAGCAGCAGGCCCTTCACCTATAGGACGCAGACTTTCTAAAAGAAATCAAAAGGAAATGATCCTCTCGGAGAGAATTCGCGACGGAAATCAAGAGCCTTGGAATAGCTGATATAGTATCTGATCTACTCTTCCAGTTTAATTCGTAATTCATTGTAATCAGTCGGATAAAATAGTTACTATATCATCGAGTCATCATCATCAACACTCATCTTTAAACACTGATTGCTTACAGTCTACGATAACTACTCTAACAATTTTTATTATAGAGCTAGTTTTTCGAGGAAATAAGATATTGGGAGTAAGCGTCTGTAAGGAGTCAGTTTAGTTGTTGCTGAGCATTCATCGAGTGAAGATTCTATATATATTTATGTAATTATATTGGTGATGAAGAAACGACAACTAACGGACGTGTCTAATGCTGGGGAGTCTCAACGAAAGTATCTACGGGGTGAAATTTTGAGTGAAAAAGCTAATAGTATTGCTTTATTGGAGCCTACACCCATTATGGAGCAACGACAAACAATTCAAGATACTCACAAGTACATCAATGCATGCAAAACAGCTGAGGACATGATTTTCCTTGCATGCTCCAATTGTCGCAATTACACGAATCGTACACTACTCGAGTGGAGTGAAGCTGTTCTTCTGCAATTGTGCGTACTCTACAGCCGAGTCTCATTTGAAAATCTCCGTTGGAATGATGTCGAGGATTTTTTACAATATCAATGGCGTCGTGAACTCTGTGTGCCATTACGCTTGCACTGTGGTAGTCACCTAAATCTGGGAATTATACTCCAGAAGAATCATACTGTGAAATTGAACAACAGTCTCATTACGCAAAATCAAGTTTTCTATCGGATACCGCATGTTAATTATAAACTATTGCAAAAATTTATCGCACCACCAATTGAAAGAGGAAAAAATCTCAGTGCTTTGAAAATACGACTTTATGAAGGTTGAACTTAAGAAAACTTTTTTTTAGGATAAATTGAATTTTATTTTCCGTCAATATACCACTCACCAAAATAACTAGTTGCGAATATTTCATATCGATATGTACGTACATTATTAACTTGAGTATGACGTCACATGATAAAGGATTGTTTGTGCTACAAAAATCAAGTTAGAGCTGTAGTTTTGTCAATATTTTTGTGAATGTGGATGTAACTGCACTGAGTCACTAACCCATTGGCATTATAATCTCGTCATGTACAGATTGCCGTCAATTATTGAACACCAAGGGTTTGGGTTTGGATTTTTGGAGTCTTTTAAAGAGCGAGAATTCTCTTTTCTACGAGAACGCGCCTGAAACTGGAGTTTCCCATGAGAAAGCACAAATAAAACCTAGATGATGATGAATCCGTCTTTCACCACACACCTCTTGACAAAAACTCCATAGCATTTTTTTCTTATACTATTGCATTATATAGTATCACAAAAAAAATCATGTTCTCTACCTACAATGCAGATGAATCCCAACAGAACAATAAGTACTGCAGATTCAAAGACGTGAGCCCCTGTCGCGAGCACGTTTCAAAATTTATTTGTAATGAACACTCCGGACTCTTTGGCATTACAAATCGTCTTGTTAACTATCAAGACGGCGATAATGATTCACGTACGAAAATAGAATCTTACGTCTCGGCATCATCGAGTTTCTCTATTCCTCTGTTTCTCGATAATGAGGGAAAAATTCTATTATCAGATATTCACGCATATGCCATGGCCATTTGCAATATGAATCCACATGTAAAAATCGAAACACTGAAAGAAACAATTGCTACCTTAGTTGGGGTTTCAGCTTACAATACAAATCAATATCATTATGGCAGTTGGCTTACCGACAAATCCACTAAAATTATTGTCCAAGAGCAATCTACAGTTACAGCGATGCAAGAATTACCGGAGCTCCATAAAATTCTCTTCTACTATGCAAAACCCTCGGCAATAATAAATGCGATAGATAAATCACAAGTTTATTTTATACCAAATGTCTCGCTGGAGTATGATCCCCTGTCATCAGGTACACCCACATACAATTTCATTGTACCAAACAAGAAACTTCTTTTGAAATGGACCAACAAACCCAATTGTGTTGCTTCACCGATTGTTCTAAATGCCATACATGAGGTAGTGCCGCAAGATCGAACCCAAGCATTTACTAAATTGCCAGATAATTCGTGGTTTAACTGAATTCACCAAATTAAAATTTGAATTGAATATTTTTTTTTACGTATACAACGGTTTTTTTACATTCACCTACACACTGCTAATTTTTTCATTTTTATCTGCAGAAACAAAAATAAATTAAACTCATTGATGTGCTGACGTTATGGGCGAATTAATTACACGTTACCCTTATATGATGACTTATCACGAGTGTTTGATTGCCCAATCATCTTGCGCTTGGTAATTAGTGAATTTCAATATTTACTTTGGGCAGTGGCTCTTGCTTGAAGCCTTGATTTTTTATTTGGGAACTCCTTCAATATTTTTATTTAAAATGTCAAATTCACAGATCATCTGCCCTCGCATTATCATATCTGCATCTGTACGGATTTCCCACAACATTTAGTTTGAAGATTTCATTTTTTTTTCCAATGACAGTTACATAAAAATATTCATTCCATCTGTTCGTCCAGTTCAGTTTTTTACATTGAAGGTTTTCAATTAAATGAATTTTCAATTCAGTTACTTTTCAATTGCCCATTTAATATTTCCTTCGTATATTAGACATATACAATTTTATTCTGGATATTTAATATTTCCTTACACTCTTATTTTCTTATTTGGTTACTCTTTCAATATTTCCGTTTAAAACAGAAAATTAACACTTCACTCGCCCCATTTCTTCCGAGAAAATTGAAAAAATTCAGGAAACCGAACACGTCCTATCAGTCGAAAAGTCGGAAACCTAACGAACCGATGAAAATAATCGGTAAAAAATGAAGGTTAAGTTTTCTAAGCATTACACATGTTCTCCGAAATTCTCCACCGGTTTTTCCAAGCCAATTGACAATAATCATAATGAAAAAAACATTTGTTCAGTGATAATTTTGGATATTGTTTGACATTGCTGTCGTCCAAGGGAATATAATTATTCAAATCATCAGGATGAATAAAATTTATACGCCTTTACATAGCCAAGCACGACGAGTGAGTAAATCAATGTGAAAAGTGACAATTTCTTAGTTTATTTATTAGTTTATTTATTTATTATTTATTGTATTGTCAACAGTGTTCCTCCCTGATGCTGAAGCGAGCCAAACCTCTTATTAAATTGAGCGAAAATATAAGAGAATCTCTTGAGAATAAGGAAATAACACCGCGAAAACATGCTGGTGTTGTGTTGAGAAAAGCAATAGCCATTCCACAATGGGTTATAAACGCGTTAAAAATCATTGTTGAAGGTAGAAATAATAATAATTGATATAAAATAATCCGTTGACTATTTGTTTTCATAGAAACATGAAATATGTTAGCAACAGTGTCTTTAAATCACGGAGAACTTGTCCAGCTTGCATTGTAATCCTTTTTTTTAAATTATCAATTATTATTCAATTATTTCTCATTATTTGTCGACTTGAAGATCACCCAAAACAGCAATTGATGGAAGACGCTTCAAAATTCTACAGACATTTTCAAGGTCGTCATCCCCCAACCGAGAGAGAAGAATTTAATGCGAAATTCGAAGACATAAAGAGAAATCTCCGGCAAGAGAAACGCTATGAAAATGCAATGCCAGAAGACGAGGAGGAGATTGATAAAGCGGTATCTGGTCGAGCCCTTCGGCTTCTAAGAGTAAATGTCCAATACAATTCGTCTGCTATTAAATATGACAGTTATACCAGCATACTGTATATGATGGCGAGAAGTGCACCTGATTATAGTATTATATACAAAATATTCCATGAAATCAAATCAAGAGATGACGGGTTTGAGGCGAAAAATTTGCTGGATTTCGGATCTGGAATTGGTACTGTTTCTTGGTAAGATGTAAAGATCGAAACAAGGTCTTATTTAGCTCGTCGACTTGCCAAATCGTAACTCCTGTGCTGCCATTAATACACATCGTGTAATAAATAAAAAATTAAATGAGGTAAATTAATCAGCTGCTTCAATTTTTTTAAACAACAGGGCAGCAGCTGAATTTTGGCCGACGTCATTGAAGGAACAAGTGTGCATCGATGCCTCTACAGATATTAGTGAATTAGCGGAAAAACTAGTAAAATATGCTGAACCGAAAATTCACGGAATATTTCATCGACAGTTTCTTCCCGTAACTCCATTGGCGAGTATTGAAAATATTGCAATTTTTTTCACAATAAATATTTTTCTTCAACTGTGGAATTGAATGAATTTTGCTCTTTCTATTTCACAGCCACGGTTTGACATTGTCGTCAGTGCTTTCACATTATTCGAGTTACCAGATCGAAAGAGTCGTCTTCAAGCGATTTTAGCTTTATGGAGGAAAACAGAAAATTATTTAGTCCTCGTAGAGCAAGGCACTCATGCTGGATTTAAAGTGAATATTATGCTCCCCTTGGTTTTCCCTAATTGAATTAATCAAATGATTAAACAAAAATATTGATTTCACAGATAATCAACGAGGCCAGAGATCTAATTTTACATTTAATAGAATCTTCTAGTAAACGAGAAGACGATCCACAAGGCTATATTTTTTCTCCAGTACGTTTCTCCCATGTTAAGGAATAATCTCGTGAAGAACATTGGGAAATTAATAAATAATAAATTACGAGTGCACGATTTGTAAATATCTCAACGACAAGATAATTTATGAAGAAACAAAACTCACTCGTTATTATCATTGATAAAATAATGGCTTTTCATATTTTCAAATAATTTTGATTCTCAAAATGATTAATTTGAAGTAAAATGATTTTTTTTCCAGTGTCCCCATGAATTCAAGTGCCCAAAAATATCGGTTGACAATGGTATTCCATGCAATTTTCAAGCGTCTTACATACCTCTCTCCTTGAAAGACGCAAGAATCACAAGAAAAGAGCGTTATTCTTATGTCGTATTTAAAAAAGGTAAAACACATGAATAGAACATGATTTCACTTTTTTTTTTATGTTCAATTTCATTTTTGATATTGATTTTATACTCTCATTATCATCTGACTGGTATTTTTCAATAAATTGTGTTGACAATGATTTATAGAATATTTATTTCATTGAATTAAATTGAATTGTTACAGGAGGAAAATGTTTAGATGAAAATGAGGAAAAGTGGTCCAGGGTAATTCAACCGACGTTGGTACGTTCAAGGCATGCGATTTGTCGCATGTGCGTACCGAATGGAGAATTGATGGAAGTTGTCTTCTCCAAGGGAAAACATGAACGGTATGCGAAATACTTCGGGAGAAAAAATTTGGTCTCCAAATATCCATTGACTTGGAGAAAAAAGAATTTATTTTAATTAATCGTTTTTCCTTCTCTATAAATAATTCATTAATTTTTTTCACCAGACCTCTGTATTATTGCGCGCGTTCGAGTGAATGGGGTGACAGATTACCCATCGAAATATTGCCTGAAACCCAAGAATGACGCTGATGTTAGGAGAATTTCGGAAGACTCGACTGTTTTGTAAAGATTTTAATACGTGTAGAAAAAAAATCAATTGAAAAACCTAGTCAACTGTTGAGTGAAATTCTATCGGATTTCTATTGAGCTTGCCATTTTTTTTTTGACAGATTCTACAAGAATGGTAAACTCATCGCGAGTTCAATAACCATTCGAAGGAATTCCTCAACCAATTCACTACGTTATTCCATTTTTACTACGGTATTCATTGATTGTATGATTTATGTAAAAAAAACTCCATAAACCAATTGTCAATAAATATTTTCCAATTGTGAATATCTTATAATTTTTTTTATTTGAAAATCCTTTTATTCTTCTCGAAACCATTCATTTTTCGAATTATTAATTTCGATAAATGTGTTCGATACAAACCTTCGATAAAATTGATTTGATTAAAAAATTTAAATATCTGTAATTTTATATTCTGCGATCAAACATTCGCGGATTTTTGTCCTCGAAGTGGAAAATTCTGATGGAAATTCATGAATGATCATTATAGTCACAGAAAAATGAATTTTATAGGGAAAACGACGCGTTTCAATCTAACTCAATAAAAAAGTGAAGGCAACATTTGAGATATGGTATAACGCTGATTTCTCCCTCCATTCTACCTCAAACTGCAATTGCATTAGCCATGGAGATTTAAAAGCAGCTTTCATCAACATCTCGATGCAGTACCCGCTACACTATGGGAGATAGCATTTCTATGGCATGTGGGTGAGTTTCGTTTTGAATTATTTTAATCACTTCGAATTAAAAAATTTTAAAACACTCCATGTCACCAAAATTGAATCAATATTTTCCACCGTCATCAAGTAAAATTGATTCTTTTCTCCATCAATAATTATTTATAAAAAACGAGAAAATCGGTAATTGCAATCGAGAAAAATAGTTAATTACCATAATGTTTACTATCGAGGATTCGAAATAGAAAGAGAAGAAAATAATAAAAAAAATAGCGATCTGGATAGGAATTTTTAGGATTTCTATCAATTTTTCCGCAAACTCAAATAAAAAATTATAGACTCTCAAATTGTAGAGTACTGTTTCGTAAATTTTGTGGCGCAACATACAATAAATTGTGGAGTGCACTAGAAAATTTACGATAGTAATATCAATTTTTATTTGTGAACCGAAAAAATTCTGGTATCCTAGCATTTTGCAGTCCGATTCTAGTGCTCGGCACAGTGATTTTCCTTAAACTATTCTCACCGTGTAGAAAAGTACAATGTGTCATGGAATTCAGTTTTCTTTTTTCCTGTGATGTATTACATAATGAGTATTATACATTACATTACGGAGGGCAAGGTACTTTTAGAGGAACATGTGTGTTCACTCCTTCCGCGGACAACTTTCTCTCGAAGATACAGCATGGAAAACAGTTTCACTTTCTTCAATCTGATGCAGCAAATTGTCCACTGGATATGCACTGAAGATATGACCGGGATTGCATAATAAATTCTCAATGCCTTGTATTTTGCTTGATAGAATTGAATTCACCCGTAGGATAATTATTTATGTTGATAAAAAAAATACAAAACTCAAATTACAACGATTACAATGTTTTCATTTTGGGGGCAAAACGATTAAATAATTATGTTTATCCTTCCTCAACTACATTTTATGTGTAAGATATTTATAAATTTTTTCAGGATGATCCCACCGTCATTATTATTTGTCATTCTGATAATGCTGCTTTTATACTTGGGTTCATTAAAACCGAAAGGATATCCTCCAGGTAAAATGGTCCAAATTGAATTCTAGCTATAGCTCTAGCTTTTTAATTGTTATGTATAAAAAATTAATTCGATTTTTGTTTCTTTATATTGATCTTGAAGGACCAAAGTGGTGGCCCTTTCTAGGATCGGCCTTAGAAGTCGCGAGACTTCGCAAAAAAACTGGTTATCTCCACGAAACTTTCACACTTTTGGGAGAAAAATACGGCCCAATCGTGGGATTGAAAATAGGAACCGATCGAATTGTTGTACTCAACACGTACGAGAGTATGAAATCAATGCTGATGAATGATGATTGCGATGGAAGACCCACTGGGCCGGTATACGAGTCAAGAACATGGGGAAAAAGACGGGGTAATATATTTAAGAAACCTCAACCGATGGTTCCACTTTCATCTGAAAATATTCACTAGGAGTTTTAGTAACTGATGGCATCCTCTGGACCGAGCAGCGAAGATTTGTCCTACGTCATCTCCGAGATTTTGGCTTCGGCAAGAACAACATGGCGACATTAATTGAAGAAGAGACAAAATATTTAGTCAACAGTTTATTGCATCAATTGGAAATGATAAGAGTGGATAAAGGACCGGTGCAATTCAATAACAATATAAAAAATGATGGACGGATTTACCAATTAAGCAGTGAAAATTTGAATAAATCGGATGGGGAATGCTTGAAGAAACCTATTAAAATTGAGGATGTGTACATGAAGGCACAGGATTATGCTGATGTCAGACGAGTCTCTCAATCTCCGTCGATGATTATTCAAATGGATGAAGTCTTTGGGGTCCCCATTCTCAACACTTTGTGGAAAATGATGTCTGGGAAGAGGTACTCGACAGAAGAAGCAAACAATTTTACACGTCGAGCATTAAATCAATTTAATTATTATTCATTTCAGATATAATGCGGATGATAGACGGCTCAATCATCTCCAAAGGATCCTCACCACTTTGTTCAAAGAATGTGATATGATTGGATGCTTGTTTGGACATTTTCCTATTCTCAGATATGTTGCACCTGTTGCCTCTGGATATAAACAGTTCATGGAGATCCATCAGCAATTGTGGAGTTTTCTAAATGTGATTTAGAAATCCTATCGCAAATATTTTTCTCAGATTCAAATTATTTCGCACTATATAACGGGTTTTTTTCTCATTTGCAGGAAGAATTAGTGAATCATAAGAAAACATTTGATCCAGACGTACCTAAATGTCTTATGGATGCGTACTTGAAGATTTTACAGTCTGAGTCCCATGACGAAACTTTTTCAGGTTTGTAAAAAAAATAAATTGTATCTGTACAGTAAAGCCATTGAAATGTAACAATTGCGGATCCGATCGTCAAGGGAATATTTTTTTATTATTTGAAGATCGAAGGAGAATATTGCCGATATTGAATTTTGGGGAATGAAAATTAATTTTCTGTCAAATAAAATTTTTCCCTCAGCCAATCGCTGATTTTATACATTGTATATTAATCTCTCAAATCGTTGAATTAATAGATTTTATCTTTTTTTAGAATTACAATTACTAGCAATTTGGGTGGATTTATTCATGGCAGGATCAGAAACTACAACAAAAGCTCTAAACTTTTGTTTTCTTTACCTCGTGTTGTATCCAGATGTGCAAAAAAAAGCTCAGGATGAGATCGATCGAGAAATCGGTAGAGACAGGCTGCCTCGGCTGTCAGATCGACCTAGGTATTTTACACTTACAATAAAAATTCATACACAATTTTAAATCATTGAAAATCATAAGAATATTTTCTCTATTGATATTTTCTGTAGAATGACGTACGTGAATGCAATTACTTTGGAATCAATCCGAATGTTCATGGGAAGGACAATGAATATTCCCCACAGAACATTAAAGGACACGTATATTATGGGGTATCGAATACCAAAGGTGTGTTTTTTGTGAAAGTTATAATTACAATTTTTACGTGAAGTTCAATTTAATTGAATATTAAAATAAAATGCTGAGTATTTCTTTTTGATTATTACTGATTAAATTAATTTCAGGATACAATGCTAGCTGCTAATTTCAGCAGAATATTAATGACTGATGATGTTTATGGAGATGCTGAAGTATTTCGACCTGAAAGATTCATTGACTCCAAAGGCAATATTTCAGTTCCGGAACAGTACATGCCATTTAGTATTGGTAAGTACATTGTAGATTTTATATAAGTCTTATATAAGATTCAATGAAAATGGAATTTTGATTTAAAGGTAAACACCATTGTATGGGTGAAGTCCTAGCGAAAAGCAATATTTTCGTCTTCACAGCTACATTATTGCAGACTTTCACTTTCTCAGTTGTTCCCGGTGAGGAAATACCAACTACCGATTTCACTGATGGTGTGACTGCCAGTCCATTGCCCTTCAAAGTTTTAATTACTAAAAGATTTTAATTAATTCACGTAATAAAATATAAAAATTCCTGGATTCATGTGCCACTCGAATTTCTATGACAGCTTCTAGGGCGATCGATGTCTAGTCACGAAGGGGTCTGCAAAAAATATCTCTCTTAAAATTTATATTTTTCAATTGAATTTCAGATATTTTTAGTAATTCGTGTCTTCTGGGAGTAAATTTATTCAAATTAACAAATATTTTTAATAGTTCACTTGAGTTTCATTTTTATCAGGAATAATGATGGCAATATTTCGGCGATTAAGGGAATATTCAATTGTATAATATCCAATTTGATAAAACGGTTAATGGAATAGATACTTTTTTTTTCAAATATCTCATCCGACGTTTTTTATTATACCCAACTCCATTCACTTCAAATACATATATCTCATTGTTCCTTAAATCAGAATATCTATTTACATCAACAGATAGAAAAATTTACATTGGCATTAAAATATTTTTTAATTAATTGTAATTACAGCTCAATTTTAGTTACCATCATCACAATGCAATATTAGCAATAATTATTTTTTATATTCATTAAAATAGACCATTAAGACATTTATATTAGAATATAATAGACAATAGCTTATTTCCATTGGTGAATATAATCCAATTATTTTACTACATATAATTATGTGAAGAAACAAAGATATTTGTAAATAAAGTTTACCGATATTATCTATAAAGAAAAAAAAATTACAACAATTTAAAAATGCGGAGAAAAGTTGAGGAGAAACCGAATTTCTGGGGAACCATCTTCGTTTTAATTTTGATAACATACAATAATAAAAAATTGATGTGTCAATATTGTTTAAAAAATGGAGAGAGCACATTTTTTTGTGGGGAATAAAGTCCCGTGAGACATTTATTGCCGGACTATTCGAGACTTACGGAGATAGTTCTTAAATGACTTTTGAAAAAAACTTACAAATTTTAGATATTTGCAAAATAGTTTATAAGAAAATTGCCTCAAAAACTCATCTGCCCTCATCACTTAGATAAATTATTACAACGTGTTTTTTTTGTTCATTAATTTTTTCTTAATTCCATGAATATATATAGTTTTATTTTATAAGTAACAGTGGTGATGGTCCAACAGCAAGAGGCATTCATTTATTCCACAAGTAATTTCTGTCAGTCATACTCTCAACGAGTCAACCGATGAGAATAACAACATATAATTCTATATCAGTAATTTTCAATCATAATTTTATTGCTTGGGTCGCTCGAAGATTTCCCTCTTCAAAATTCAAAAAAATGAAAAAAATTTTCAGTCGATTTAATATTTCTTTCTTGGTGTTTGATCCAGTGAAGGAGAGGAATCATTCTATTGAAGAAAATGATTCTCTTGAAATTAATTTACAACTTCTTTTAGTAATACCAAAACTGTATATAATTAATTTCATTCATATTCTGTCCGATTATTCTATCTAATTAAAATTATGCTGCGCTGGTTTGCGCTAAGTACCTGTACTTTTATAAATAGGACTTTCTTTAATTCCACTACGTTTTTTATCAATTATTAAAGTTTCATGATTAATTAATTAAATTCGTTCTCAATTTTTTAAATAGTTAGGCAATTGGTGAAATGTAGCAACAAAACATTTCTCCCATTTTTCATTTGTTATCAATCTTGCTTGAATAATTTAAACAATAAATTATTCGATATTTGTTCTTCGCTGAAAAAATTATAATCTAGGAAAGGAACTATTCTTCTCTAAAAGCTGTCGTTTCTTTAATAATTGGACTATTGTTCATAATTTGTTGCTGTAAGAGACAAGTTTGTTTTATCAAAAATGTATGATCCAAACAATTTTCACAATGATCAATAGTAAATATCAAAATTTCATGCATAATGACACAATTCGCTGTCAACATCACATTTCATTTCATTTAATTTACATAAATGGAAATCTAAATGTATAAATTTTAAATGAGCATACTGCGCATTTGAATCATCCGACAGAAAATTTTCTCAAGTGATAAATAAAATAAAATAACCACGAACCAGAAAAATGAATCAATACTTTTTGTGACAGAAAAAGTTACAGGACAAGTTTATGACAACGTAATTATTAGGAGGTGACCATTAATAAACATTTTAGTCATCTGAAGCTGCTGCAAACGATCCTAGTCACATGATTACACATTGATGTTCATTCTAAATAAATAATAGAAAATAATTTGAGATAAATAATGCTGCACGAATGATTAGAATGTTCTCCTCTAGTTCAGGTCTCATTTAGCTAATGTTGTGGGATTGAAAAAATAGATCACATTTTTAAACTATAATAAATGTAAAAATAACAGTTGGTAAATAGCTTAAAAAGAAGCACAATTAAAATTTTGTCAATCAGATAAAAATATACAGGATTTCCTTCAATGTATAAATAAATAAGTGAGAGTTATTTCTCTTCATTCCTCAGTTTGACAGGTACTTCGATTTCTTTGAATCTACCAGTTCTTAATGCACTTGATAGCGATAATATTTTCCTCCATACCCTGGTGATCGTCAACTTGGTTGATCTTCAACAATGTGAATCTGAATATAATAAGATAAATAATAAAAACAGAAATCTATACATAATGTTCTAATAAATACATACAATGAATATTCCAAATTTCAAAGATGCGATTTTCAATCAATTTATAATATAATATAAAAACATGAGAAGAATAATTTTTAAGTTTATGAAAAAAAGAGATAAAACTGACGAATTAGAAGGAGAGGTGCAAAAAAAAAAACAAAAGCAATGGAATTATAAAAATTATGAGATTTCAGAAAAAAACAATAAGGCAATGAAGAGAGTGTACTGACCTCGGATAGAATTGCCCAATTTTCGCTTTCGCTGTGTACTGTCAATCTTAAAACAGATATTCTTCCGTATTTTCTGTCAACTGTTCCTCGAGCCAATCCGAGACTATCAAATTTACCTTCGAGTAAAATAAAAAATTGTGGTACTTCTTTAGTTATTCAATATGAAATAATAGTACGAATAATTTCACACCTATGATGATGTAACCATCCTCCGTCACGTCGTTGTTATTTCTATTGACAAATTTTGAAGCCTCGGGCAGTACTTCAACTGTTGTATTATAAAACTTATCAAGAGGATGTTCTGGATTACCACTCCTGAATAAATATCTGAAAGAATTTTCAATGTGAGATGATTCAAAATAATATTTCAGAATTATTTAACTGAATCATAAAGTATTGATTATTGTTATATATTCTGGAATCTGAATTAATATTGAAATACTCAAAAGTCATTGGAATATTTTGAAAACTATGGCTCTCTCGGACGAGTACTCACTTTTTTACAAAAATAGGATGTTTGAATTTAAATTTGAGATGATCCCCAGGTTGTGGCAGTAGTCCCCAAAAGAAACTCTCACCCTTGTACGCTTTATTAAGGGTATATTGTTTATAGGATGTAATTCTGGTCTCCACCGTAGCATCAGGATTGTCATGCGCGTAATAGAACGTTATTTTACCGAACTGCTTGTCCTTCAACTTCTGTACTTTTCCTTTTAATGACGAATGCGTCCCAATGTGTTGAAACAACGAGGGTTTATAGTGAAGCCATAGCTCAGCCTTTGCCATTTTGCAATGCTTGCTATCTTTATCAAGACTGCAAACCTTGGTTGACACCAAATGATCCAACAACCAGTCAACAGGCTTGTCATTGTAAAACATCAGGAAGAACTGTATCAACCAAGGCAACTCAACGCATTTAAAGAGCTTGCCGATGAAGCCGAGTTGACAAAAATCCAGGACAAACCACTTTTCCTTCTGACTGATCTTTTGCAAAGCATAAGATTTCATTGTGGTTATGAAGTTCTTCTTGGCTAAGATATCATCCTCCAATTGAATGTAAAATGTACCTTTTCCCTGAGCATATGACATTAAGAATGCAAAATCAAGATTTTGCTTTGACCTCCAGACAACTCTCTGATGATCATCACCCAATGTATCTCTCAGCTTGGATAAATCCGGGTAATAAGATGCTGATGGAGATATAACTTCTAAAAGTCCACTCTCCGACTCTATTGGGAAGTGCACTTCGATCTGTTTAGCTACGTAACTCACGTATTCCAAATCAGTCTCAGCTACCATGACGATGATGACAGTGTCCATTGCCTCCTCTGGTGTCATTCTGTCTACTAGGTTCTTAAGAGTAGTTAAAAGGTAACTCTGGATCTCCCTTCTCACCGTTGGAACACCCAGCACCATACTTACGCCGGTACGACTCTTGCCTTGTAAAAATGCCGGTCTCAAACTATTGGGATCGTTCAAAAAGTGAGGCAAGAAATTGTAGATCGAGGGTAACTTTATTGCTGTCATATTGGAGGTGCCATTCAGCATCATAAATTGCAGATTAGGAAGCACGTGGGAGTTTTCAGTCATCAGCAGGAGCTGGTGGGAGAGAAGATTTATCTCCTCTTGGGTGTTTATGTATTTCGATTGAAGGTGCTCCAACTTTGCCTGCAGCTCTGCTATTCCATTCTGCAGGGCTGTCTCTTCTCCCATGTCCGGAAAGGAGAAGAGATTCAAGATAGTGCATGGCACGAGTATTACCATCAGGATTATTAGGCATCGTCGGCGGATCGAGGCGACTGATATGAGGTGAGCGATCATATTTAGAGATTTTCGAGATCGCTACTACATGGTGATTTGTCTATTTGGAGACGGCTCTTTCTGGTGAAGGAGGAGAACTCGGAGGAGTTCCACTTGAGGAGACTCTCCATTTAGGCTCATCTGAAAATCATTAATCATTAAACCACCTGTCAAATATCAATTACATTTATTTTAAAACATAGGGGAGGATCGGCAGTCTGCACTTTATCGTTTTTCTTGTTGAAAAGAAAGAGAATGGAATTTCGTTCTTTTCAATTGAATATTTAAAAAATCGACCAACAGAAATCCCACAGAATTATCCGTTGACTTCGCTAGCCTTTTCCAGTAAATTTTTTCTTGCGTGTCACTGTGTACGGAGTATTTCAATGACTATTTTCGCAGCCATTGGATAGATTTTCCCTTTCAAAAAAAATCACGAAATGGAGTAATGATGACTTACATTATAATTCCAATATGTGGAGTTTTTGAATAATCGAATGTAAACAATCTCAATGAGTAGTAATTATTGTAAATCCATATTTTATTACAGAAATTCGACTTACCTCAAGGTGATTATATGAATAAATTCTTCGCACTCATGGATAAATAATTCGAGTCGCTCTCCTGTCATTCGACTCGGTTCCACTTGATGAAATCCTATGCAAGTAAAATTAGATTTTATTCATTTTATTAGAATCATACAATAAGTATATGTAGATGCATAAACAAAAAATCACATGATTGCACCAGGAAAAACTAGTCTGTCAATGGATTACGTGCGCCATCTTCTGATTATTGCGGGAATTAAGCTGAAAATTTAAATAGATATCCGTAAATCACCGATTTTATAAACTTATGAACTCGCCTCATTACAAGAGAACACAATATTCACTTTCAATTACTCGTTTTATTATTTTAATTGCGTGAAATTAATTTAATTCCGTATGAAATCATTCATCAAAGATTTATTTATCATCATTAGTCATTTTAATAGCTCTATTAATTTTACACCGCTAATCCATTAAAGCCCTTCTATTTTGACATAAATATTAATGTGAAGATTATGTATAATTTTTTAAATCGCTGAATGAAGCCATCCCATTCCAGACAAAACAACAATAAAAATAAATGCTATATCCCATGTAATTATAATAATCACCAATTACTAAGACAATATAAACTATTATCGGATGTAAAATACAATTGTATTTAATTACACAAAATTATAATGACAGAAATTCAAATGAAAAAGTTCGATTTCGATGATTAAATATTTTCGTATTGACCAAAAAAAAATAAATAAATAAATTTATCAGATAAAAAAAATAGTGTCATTCATATGGGACTCATTTGGAAAATTCCATATGGACAATTGATGATTCTGAACTAGGTATTGAGTTCATGTGATTATTTTAAAGTTAGATACGATGCGGGTTTGAATAGACTAAAATTTGATATCATTCATCTCACGGTTGACGACCTCTTGCATTGAGAAAACTCGAGAAATACTCCAATACCCTTTCCATTTGCAAACTCATTTTCACTTCAGCTTTTCCATTTTTCTTTTTGCATTTTTTACCACATCCCAATCAATGAACCCCGAGATACGTACACAGAGGGATGAATAGTCACATGTATATATGCATATATTTGTATTGACTGAAATTACTCTGATGGATATCGGGCAATCACTTTGTCACTGTCAACAGTCATAAATCCGTTAATTAAACAGGTCTAAATCAATAAAAAATCACTGCAATAAGGACTAAATAAATCGAGAAATGTACATCGTGTTTATTATTTATCTCAGTATATAAAAGTAACATGTAATGCACATACAGAGAAAAATTTATAGTAAAACATTGAAATTTTTTTAAAAAACAATTCAAATGGTTCCTAATTCACTCGATTTTCTATATTTTTTTTCATTAAAATTCCTTTAGACTCAATGCGATACCCGATTACTAAACGTCAGAGCAAATTTAACAACAAATTTTTCATCTTGTGGTAGGAAAATTCCTCTGTTTTAGACATTCGATGCATTCAATCATGAAATTCTCTCACAAGCCGGAGTTCTGAATGGCGTGGAAAAATATATAAACTTGAATGATAAGTGAAAAAATATTTTCTCTGAGATTGTGAATCATTTAGATAAACAAGATTTATTAATAATAAGAGAAGACCTATTGAATACAATTAAACTATCAAAGAAAATTACTTTCCTGCTGTAGAAACAATTAATCTATCTCGCGTTATTTAAATAAACCTATTTATGAATGAACCATTCTTTTTTTTAGTCTGGAATATATTTTTTTTTTCTCATTTTTCTCATTTTTCTCATTTTTCTCATGCGAATTTTATTGAAATTGTTGGAGAGGGTGGGGGATCGGGGGAGTGACAAATAGTAAAAATGAAATACAAAGTGTTGGATTGATATTGTTAAAAGTAGGTTAAGGATTATGAAGATGTCATGTATCAACAAGTCTCTCATAAGGCAACGAATAAACCCTCGGTATTGATTTAGTAGCCTGCCTTCTCCATGCGAAACGCATAATGCAATATTCCATTTACGTGGATATCAAATGCAGCAAGTGAATGAGTCATTCAATTAACTATATTTTTCTCTTTGTTTATTTGACTTTCCAAAGGAGAAACATTCAAGAGGAAATTCACAGGGGATGAACCAATTGATGACGAAGTTTCTCACTCAGATTGAACCAATTTCTAGGCTTAATGTCGTTAGCTCTCGAGATTTGCTATAATTCAAGGTGAATTAACACAGCATTTTCTCCAATTATTTATCTATCAATTCACGGATTTTATTTCATAATCAATCGATTAAAATTCATTGCGGTTTACGAACTAATGAGTACTGCATTTCCCTTTTATTCGGGTAATCCACAATTAATAATTCCTCTCAATTAAATTCATTTGGATCAAGTGAAGCTAAAGCGATGGAAATTATTTCATTTTTTTCCCTGATCAGTATTATTCGCATTTATCGAGTTATAAATGATAAATAATTTATAGTGATGGTTATAAAAAATATCCAACCTTTCACTAGTGAGATAAGATTTCTTGAAAAATTTATGTTCGGAGTTACGTCTTGATAAAATAGGGGAAATCTTCATCGGACATTCGAACTGGAGTCAGAATTGATGCTTCTTTTCTTTCACCTAGAGAATAAATTCTCGTTTTCGTCATTTTGTTATTGTATGTTCAAATTTAGTAATAAACTAGAAAAAATAGATAAAAGATATTCAAATGGAAAAATCTATTCCTCTGAAATTCGACTTTTCCACTCGATTTAATTCAAAAATCGACTGGAATCACTCGATTCTTATCTAATTAACTACAAATAATTCGTTATGAATGCACTAATTATGAATAAAAAATTGTACATCCCATTGTCTTTTATTGTAATATTTTAATCCATAAATTTATATGAATATTTTTTGTTTTAAAATGAATTTCGTAATTCTACGTGGGAATATAGTGACAGTATTTTTCTCAAAGTAGTACAGCATTTGGAGAAGAAAAATGTTTAATGGTAAAAGGAAAATTCGTTTTGTCCGTAAAAAAATGAAAACATCTAAATGGATGAAAAAAGGTACGTGAAAGTCCATAAAATGTAAGAATCTATTTGAATTGCCGTGAATGGATTAAGTAAGCAGAGACATTCGACGTTAATGCTAACTATTTGTTCCATTTCGGTACATTATACTTATGGTTTTTCCCATTACCCTCAGCTATCGTGGCATTATTATTAAAATGGCCGTTAACGTAATTTGCATGGCGACAACGCAGTCCCAGTCTCAAGAAAAATATGAAAGACCAAAAACGATAAAAAAAGGGACAAAGCAGAATAAAAAAAGAATTCCTGAAAAAAACTGTTCGATGGCAAATAAAAAGCAATTAATGACAGTTGAAATGAGCATTGAAAATAACTGAAAAATTCAGGGATAAAACGATCATTTTTACGTTATAAATAAATTCAATAAATTGAAAAAGATGATAAATAGTTTTTAACGTCAACCTCTTTCATTAAATTTTATCATGCAATATGTGCAACAATCCATTCAAATAGAATTAATGGATTTATGTGATTGAAAAATCGGTTGGCAATTCGCTGTACTTCAGAAAATAGAAAAAAAATGGAATAGTGATAAATAAATTATTGCATTGACAACGAATCTTGCCAGTGGAATTTCAATAGCAAATACTACTTGTTAAATAAATGAAATTAAGATTTTTTTCATTATATTCATTACTCAAGAATATTCTATGTAGCTCTGCGGAAAAAAATATTTAGTAAAAAAATAATAATTATTTCTATACAAATTTTCATTGAAATGTTTTATTTTTTTTGTAATTTGTGATGAATCTTCCTGTTGTTGTAAATTTTGACTTGAGTATGCGGGCGCAACTGCTTTTTGTTGTTGATGAGAAAAAGTGTAAAACGGAAAGTTTCCGCGGTTATCCCAAAGGAAAATTGATAAGGAATTCAGGAAGGGGATGGGGTAATATATTTCCTCGATCGGTGTCGGAAAATTATTTGCAACTCTCATTCATTGCAGAAATGAAAATTTTGGTGTACATGAGAAGACGTTCACTTGTAATTGAAGAATAATAGTAACAGTTGACTTTTTTCCAGTCAAATACAGGCGGGAAGCTTGAAAAGCTTATCTTCTCTCGTTTTTTATTCTCCCCACTTTCCTGGCGAATGAAGTGTATATAAGAAATTTGATATCAATAGATTTTCCATTAAACAAACACTTCACTCTAATGCAAAAAGTTAAATTATGTTGCGTTTCAAGAGGAGACGGTAAATATGAGGATAATGTGAATTAACAATTTGTTTCATTTCCAAGAAAAGATGTATAATTTTTCTAACAATTATCCGATAACAAGTGGAACTAATTTGTTCAATGTTTAAATAATAAGTACTAATTTATGTTTAAAATAAAAAAAAGAAACGATAAATGATCTCAATGGATTAACGAATAAATACCTGTTTTCAATAATTTTTTATATAAAATAATAATAAAAATAATGAAAAAATAATTTTCTATGAAATATTTTTTTATTAATAAGTTGTGGAAAATTTCTTGAAATTCCAACAAATATTTTATTCAATCTTTCAATTATATGAGTTCTTTTTTTTTGAGAATCTTTTTTTTTACATAAAAAACCTTCAGGAAAATTGACACTTATTTAAAAAATGGTGGATATTTTTAATGTAAAATTCAGTGCGGGGTAAACAATGGTTGAGTGAGAAGAGAAGAGGAGGGAAGTGGTGGGAAAGGTAATGATGTATGGAATAGTTTGAGCACCTGTGGCGTGTATTTGTTGAGATTTGAGTTGAAGAATATTTTGAGGATTTGATGGGATGTATGGGGTGGTATTGTAATGGGGATGGTGGGTTAGGGGTGGAAAGGTGTGGGTGCACAGGTCGAGTGACTATTGGAGGATGTTGGCCATTTGAGGGAGGATTTAAGGGGTTGGAGGGTTGGGGAGGAGGCGCCAAGTCCGGAGGTTTTATATAAAAGCATCTGCGGATACCTCTCCACCATCACTTTAGTATTGTCCTTTGCGCGAGCATCATCTGGTTCTGTGAATCATCATTTACTCTCAATTCCCGGTAGGTTTACAATAAATTAATTAATCAATTATTTTCACCGGGAAATGTACTCAGTAGAGATTACATGAATTAACATTGGTCATCCTGATATTCGGGTTAAACAAATTAAAGAAAAAATTTACTAGACTTGGAAAAATTTTATAGTAACAGATTGAACAATATTTTTTTTACTCTACAATCACTACTTTTTTTCATATTGTTATTGAATATATCTCTGTGTCTGTGGGAAAAATTACACGGGAAATTTTGATTACTGGGAATTTTTTGTGGATTATTAATATTATTATGAATAAAATCCACTGGAAATTTCTAGTAATTAAAAAATTGCATAGGATTTGTGTTTATGAATTAGCCGATTGGAAATTGTTGAGCCCATGAAAAATCGATGTATATTTGTTAATTAACTTTCATAAGTATGTCCCTGAAAAAAATTAATTCAATTTTCTCCATGCGCTGAGAAAGAAAATGACTTCTGCTAAATTAAATGGATTTAGCAAAAGAAATGTATAGATATTTTTCCATTTAAAATCCTCAATTTTCCGAAAACTTAATTAATAAAATTAGTCTCAGTGTGTGGAGTTGTTGATCAGTGATAAAAGTTCAAGTCTATTGTTACATTCTACACTAGTTGAGTGTAAACTATTTCAAGTTAGTGAAATAATGGGAAGATTATTCCATAGAAATGTTGGTCATTCCCTTGCGATTTCATAGACAAAGTTAGGAAGTCACGTATAAAACCGGGACGTTAGTCTGACAACCAGTTGTTTTCGTAACAGAGTTATTCAAGACTTGGTCAAGTTTCCTTAAGTTTCGGCAACTTAACAGCTTCCAATACCTCTTATACCTTTGAAAAAAAAATTACCTCAAACATTCCCTCGCTCAAAAAAAAAAAAAACCTATTGATTCAACTTTCAATTTCAACTCACTTCTCTCATTACATTCCAATAATTACAATTATTCTCTCAAGAAAGTCCCAAGTTGAAAGACTGAATAATAATAAAAATAATTATTCTCCAGGGCAACATACTGTGCCCAATTATTTTTGAATTTTTCCTGAATTCCTATGAATATTTTATTGCAAGGAAATAAAATGAAAACAAGTGGCGAATTATTCTCTCGTTGCATAATGTTGTTATTTTTATTAATAAATTAGCAATATGCTTGAAAGTGGTCGTTTGACATTTTTGAAATAGGAAATTATCAAGAATCATCTAAAAAATTATATCAACATTTACATATGCTTAAAGGGTAATTAATTATTAAAAAGTCGTAATTTCAACAGTATAGCATCATTAAAAAAAACTGGAACTGTTATAGAATTTTTTCTCACGATTTCCTCATTTTTTTTTTAATTCCAAAACCGTTGTATGAAAAATAATTTTTTTTCTACCAAATCTTTCATGAAAAAAAGAATTTATCCGCAAAAATTGATCTATCAATTAAAGATTCAGACAACCCCAATGAAAATTCAAAATAATTTCAGTATAAAAGAATAAAGATTTTGAAATCTTCAATAAATACGCGTTTCCTTGAATGAAGATGAAAATTCTTTATATGTCTCTGGTTTTTCCGGTGGAATTTTTGCTGTAGAGATCCAAAGGTGCACGAAATGATTGCGATTTGAGTCACAACTCAAGAAGAATCGCACAAAAAAACAATAAAAAATTGTGGAAGGAAAAATATTGTGGTAATGAATGCAGGCTGGGAGGTTCGATACGTGAAATGTTCGTGGTTTATTTCTTTGAGAAAGTATCGCTTTTATCTCCCCATAAAATCTTGATGAAATTAATGGTATTTCGGTGGCCATCTTCGTGCCTGATTCACGGGCCATTCTGTGCCACATATTCGTTGCAAAATTACAACAATATCTTAGCGAAGTTAAGATCCTTCTTTGATATTGTTGGAACCGACAATGACCCAGAATTCCCTTTCTTCGTGGATTTCTTCGTCTCCTTTGCACCCCAACTTTCGTAATTTTTTCAAATTTTTGCCGCGTTATTTCGTACTTTGAAGCATCAAACGATAGCGCTCATGATTTCCTCGCCCCTTTATGCAAATTCCTCACATTTTCCCGAGAGAGAATTCCATAAGAAAAAACTACGACCCGAGTGTCGAAAAATTTTCAGGAATTGCAATGCCTCAGATGAATCCCCCCACCCATTCAAGTTATTCCTTTCATCTTCGTAATAATAATCTTCGTAATTATTATCCCTCAAGTCGTGTTTCTCGTTGAAAAATTAATCAATAAAAAATTAATTAAGGATTGCCAGTATATCTTTGGATTTTTCGAAAAAATTTGAATATAATTCTCAATTATTTTCTGGAAACCACAGTAGAGTAATTTTTGAGAAAAATTAAAAGTTCTGGATAATTTCGATAAATCTTCATGTCAGGTATTTGAGAATTTTCTGCGTCATGAGACAGCAAATATTCCATTAGAATGCCAATATTTTTTATAAAAAATTTTGACAGTGGCGGGAGTCCAGTTATTGGCTACTCGATCAATGCTGCATCGAGAACCTATCGGATCTGGTGGTTAGCGTCATCAATTTAATTTCAGAAATTCTAATGGGAAATTAGCGTTCAGAGGCGGTTACAACTCTCCAACAGTTTCCTCTCTATTTAAAAAAAAATCCAGAGCTTTTCTTTTATTAAGAAAATTCGAATTTTGTATTCCAAAAAAAAGCATCAACCTAGATAAGACCCAAACTGCATAATTAATTCATTTTATTTGATTACAGTTAGATTTTTTTTTTTTAAAGAAAAAATCAATTTGATAGGCCGAAAAAATTTTAAATTCAATCAAATCCTTCCGTTGCATTTTAGATGAATATCTTTGAATGTAAAAGGGGTGCCAAGATTTTTATTAAAATATTATTTGGAAGCAATAAATACTACAATAAATACGGATTTTCATAAATTAAAAAATCCTTCGTAAAAAATAATTAGTCGACTCCTTATTTATTTATAAGTAACCCTACTCTAGATATTTATTTATAAAAATACTTGCAAAACCTTCAGTCTTCTTTTTATCAGTTTTTTTATTACTCCTTTCCGTGATTCATTAAATTCTCATTACCAAATATTGCTTTTCATCGCTGTATTAATGACGACGAAAACTCCACACGATTTTTTTCCCGTGCTCTGAATCCGTCAAAATTATCACCACAAATCACAGATTGATCTACTGTACAATTGTAATGGGTAATTGTCTTCAATTCAATACAAACCTCCAGTGAAATCATGATTTTCAAAAAGCGGGTGACTAATTTTCCCTGGAATCTATAAAATCCCTGGAAAACCGTGGATAATTACTGACCCAAGGGGATTTGTTAGTTGGAATTGTTCTTAAATTACGTGTGAGCACGACACGAATCCACTAGCTATACTTTAATATAACAATTTAGAGTTTTAAACAATCAAAGACCTCAATTATACCGTCACCCAATTTTTCACTGTAAAAACTGAAACTTTGTTGTGTTCTACTGTCTGTATTTGTTGAAGTAAATTGAGTAAAACGTTTTTAAACGATCTGTTAAAAATCTCTGAGTGACATTAACTATATAGGATATATCAATATATTTATAGTGACGGTACTTTGGAATCAAACCTACTACTGGGGTTCAAGTAATGCTTCTAACGAATCTTCGAACAAAGGCGTTGTACACTAGGGAAATTACCATTGCTCTTTATTCTCAATAAATTGAACAATTATTCCATCCACTTCATCCCTCGATGCACTTTCCACTGCGTTGCATCAAGAAAAATAGATTATTTAAATAAAACAGAGATCTTTATCCAAATTTATGTTTATCCAAAATTCTTTATCCAATCAAAATCTCAATTTTTATTACAAATCAATAAAATCATGTTAAATCATTAATTAAATTCGGCTGGAGGATTAATCTATATTGATTGAATGATCTCCTCTTTCCTATTTTATTTTTAAAAAAATAATTTAGATCATAGGAGATTTGAATTTTCGAATAGTTATAAATCTTTCGGAGATAGACGGCCATTAAATAAACGTAATGGAGTCACAAAAAATATCAATGTTACGAGAAATATGATTTAGCTAACTACCGTTCATAATTCGACATTCAAAAAAATATGTATATATCGGCGTTCATAATTCGCCATTTAAAAAAATATGTATATATCGGCGCCATGTATAGCTTATCAGAATTTAATCAAGTGAAGCTCCTGAGTTTGAATTTAAGTGCTGGCAGTTCATGTCTTTAGCATGATCTAACAAAAATGGTAGGCGGAAAAAATATCCCCGTAAAAAATAGCCCACACACCCAAAACGTGTTAAAACCCACCCAATTTGATAGACCATAGGAAAATTAGAGTCCCTGATAAATAGATAACGAAAAAAATAATTAAATTAAAAAATAATTAAATTTAGCGAGTTTAACACGTTTTGAATGGGTGGGATATTTTTTCCCTGGGATATTTTTTCCGGGATTCAACAAAAAAAACATGATGCATGTCTGATATTATATTAATATTATATTTAATATAATATTATAATATTTTTTTATATACTTTTACAACTTCTTGGTCTTATATTTTTGCCTATGGACAGTCATGGGACGGTTATGTGATGGTTACGTCTCTGGCGTAAAATCATGTACATCCCACGGGTAAATATATGTTGACAATGAAAATGAGAGATAGTGGATAGGGGGGCAGTTGGGGAGCTATAGTCCAAGTCGATTTACGTACCTTGAAGCCAACAAAATACTATTGGGTTGTGAGGGTGTATAAAACAGCTCGACAACGCACGGGGGAGAGCTTTCTCTGGAATAGGATGTTCCAGTGATTGTATACCTGTTATACATCCTCAAATGAAATGAAGAAATAACTGTACTTGGTGGTAGACGTTGATGCCTCTGGGGACTGTCACTAGATGAATTTTCTCACGTAGAACTCATCTCCGTTGAATAATTAGAATGAGGATTGGTTAATCTTTTCACGTAAACTCAATGGCTATCGTT